TTGCGAAAAAAAATAAAGAAGCACAAGCCGCGGTTGCGGCTGGCGGCTAACATCGACCTGCTGGTGAGGAGAGGGGCGGGCGCGGAGCCTCCCTCCCTCCCTCCCTCCCTCCTCCCCCGGGCCCGGGCTGGGGGCGCTCCCGGGAGGGCGGCGCCGGGCTCTGCAGCCCCACGACGAGCCCTGTGCGGTGCGGGGCTCGCAGCCGCAGGGCCCCGGTGCTTTTAGTCGTGGCGCGCAACTGCTCTGACTGCCCTTGGATGGGGAAGGGGGTCCCCAAATCCCGGGAGGGTATGTGCATCCTGGAAGAGTATGGAGCTGGTGGGAGACAGAAGCAATGTGATGTCAAGTTACTACTAATGGTATTTCTGCTGGTGCCTATAGGCAAGGGGAAGGCAAAATTTTGGGGAAGATGGTGGCTGCTTAGCCTAATAAAATATAAGCAGTCATTGCAGCTTTCTGCTTCATTGATGGTTTCTGCCTTGTAGCTTTCCTTGTGACAGTGAGTTTGAGGATTCAGAGGCAGACATAAACACTGTGTTATCCCTCACGTGCACAATGCTCTTCAAAGATATCTCCATGTAGACAAACTGAGAAATAGGCATTTGGATTACACAGCTGTAGTACAGGAGCTTGTTGCTGCTATATGGAGCTTAAGAGTGTACAGATATCAGTCATCTGAACTGTGATTAATGAGTTACTCTGAAACTAGGGAGTGAAGAGCCTAGCTATTAATGAAAAGAGGGGGTTGAAGCGTTGGGATTCTCTTAATAGGTTAAAATCACTTCCAATAAACATGTAAGGATAACAGAGCCCTGTGGCACGTTGCATTCCTCCTCACCTGCAATGAGAGATTTACAAGAAGGGTTTGTGTCAATAAAAAACCTGTTCAACTGAAGCGAGAGAACCTGACCTCGAGGGAGCTTATTGGCCGCTGCCATACTAAAGAAAAGGTTACATAGTGAAAAAGGATATATATATATATCTATTTAAATGACTTGATTTGCCTAGCTTTTTTGTTTTCAAGTGTACATGACAGTGAGAGGACATGATGCTCACTGCAGTGATGCATACTGTTCTCCTGCATGTTTCTCGCTTCAATACTGTGTTTCATGTGTGTAGAAGTGGCTTCTAGCAGCATCATAAAGGTTGATGTTTGGGTATGTGAAGCTAAATAGAAATAAACTAAGGAACAAAATGTGTATAGATTAATACAGATGAATATGATAGTTACAGGGCAGCATTTGCTCTTGAATATAAACAGCATCTATTTTTGCTAAAAAGTAGTGTAATAAAAATACGGTATTCTCCTCCCACTGCTGTTATCTGTGGAATATTTTATAAGCTATGGGACTCTCAAAGTCACCAAGGTATAGTTAAAGGAATTCAGTATTAAACTAATCGTTAGGAATGCAGTATTAAACTAATCATTCTTGCAGAATCATTAATAGAGTTTATTTATTTATTTATTGGTCAGCCATTAGTAACAGTTCACCTGTGTTTCCACGGTCGTGTTAATTTAGCTTCAAGTTGGTGCAGCTCTGAAAAGGGTAGGTGGAGCATCTGACCAAATCTTGGCCTTTGGTTCTCACCTCTCCCTGGTGCTGGCGCTAGCACAAGGGGGCTGTTAAGGCAATCACTGTGTTGAATTGACTGAAACTAATGAACAACAACAACCTGACCTGCCTTAAAATATGTCTACGCAAATACTCGTGCCAACACAAAGGTTGAGATGAGAACAAATTTTAATAATGTGATGGAAGCTTAGGTTGACTCTTTTGACAATGTCAAATTAGAAGGTGTTTAATGCTAGGAATTAAGTTTTTTTTATTGTTATTTTTATTTCACCTTGTGTCTGAAAGGGAATTGGTGTTCAAGGGTGGTGATTGTGCATGGTGCTTTTAGTTATCATTTTTTATTTCTTTGAAAAAATAAGCAAAACTCCATCTGTGTTGATTTCTCTTTTTTTTATTTATTTTTTTTAAAGTTCCCTAAAATGCACAATTTAGGTCCTGTTGTAGATCACCAGGTAACAAGTTTTGAAAGTGCTGTTAGCGTCTCTTCCTGTGTTATTCACTACAAATCCTGTAAGTGATTAGATTGCACACTTTATATACTAGCTGTTTTAACCAGACTAAGCCACATATATTTTGAGCAGACTACTTGTGGCTTCTGCAGGAAAATACAAGAATCAGCTATTTCAATTTGAAGGCTGTTTTCCTGAGTGTTCACTTCATGCTAACTTTTGAATCTACTGTCTTAGTACTAAGTCGAGTAAGGAGATCTGTCTGCCTTGCTGCAACATTATTCTGTCCTGTTGCTTTTTTTATTTGTTTGCTTGTTGTTTGTTTTGTTTTTCCTATCTCTTTGGTGATATTCTTTGATTAAACCTATTACATCCTTTGTCAGACAAACAAGACTGAAAAACTAACTGTAAGAAAGCAAATGTTTTTTGTTAACTATCTAAATGGAGTCTTTTTTCCTTTTTTTTTTTTTTTTCCCTCCTCTCCCCTCTAGCCTTTGACCTTCTTTTGATTAAGTCTTGTTTTGAATTTTGAAGCTTTGACCACCAACTTTCTCCAGAACAGTATTGCTAACAAATTTCACGAATGTTTTGTTTTTCCTTTCCTTTTTTTTGTTTTGTTTTTTGTTTTTTTGTTTTGAAGGAGTGTTATAATATCTTTGAGTGCTGAGGATTTTTCAGGAGGTTTCTCCTGTGTTTTTAAATTCAATTATTTTCTTTTTTTAGAAAAGTGAGAGAGATCTTAGTACTGAGACTTGTGGATTTTCTTTTTTTTTCTGCTAGAATGATCTGAGAAGAAAACTCGGCAAGCATTGTTCTAGCTTGATTTTATAAAAAAAAAAAGCAAGAACTCTACTGCCTGTCTTAAGCTAAAAGTACGGGTTTGTATTTAAATTGCAGAAAAATGTAAAGTATTGTATTGAATAACCATTTTTGTCTTTGTTATGGGAATGGAACCTGGTGAAATAGGTGTAGACTGTAGACAAAATATCAGTCTGTAGGCAAGATAATGGAGGTGGGTTTTTGTTTGTTTGTTTGTTTGTTTGTTTTTTTTTTTTTAATTATGGCAGCAAAATAACCCAAGAAGTCCTGCCGAACAGGTGTGCAGAAATCATTCTGCAACTGTGTTACCAGTTTCTCATGTGTTCTTAACCAAATGCTTCTTTTCTGGGATATAAGAGCCCTGTTGTACAACTATTGTCAGTTTTGTTCTGAGAATGATCTAAAACACAGTAATGCAGTAACTTTAAACAAGAGTGGTATCACTTAACTACTTGTCAGCAACTGTCAGATTTATGGTATTCTCACTTTCTGCCTTTCTTAGCCTTTCTTAATTTCCTTAAAAATAGACGATATAAACCCCAAATAATCTGGAATATTTATTGATATGTTTATTGTACATTTTGATTTTACTTATGTAATGGTATTTCTTTTAAATCAGTATGAGTTTAGGGGAAGCTTCTCAACATAGGGTAATTCACTTTGAAAATTAAAAAGTATGCAGTTTTTAAAGGAATATGCAGTTTTTAAAGGCAGTTTCAAGATTAACACTTTTGCTTTCAGGTATCTTGGGAAAGGACTTTAAAATGTGTCAAGCCTCCTTTCCCTCCCACAGGTTTGTTCAAGAAATCTAATTTCCACGTAGATAAGTCTAGTAATCCGAGTTGAAAGCCATTATAGTTTCACTGTTTGATTGTTTTGGGTAATTTCAGCATGAGTAGTTAAGGAAGAGGTTAAAAATAATGTTGATATTCTTGCTAAATAAGCCTGCAAGAGTGTCAGCTTTGTGTAGTAGATGTGCCCAAATGATGCCAGATATTACATAAATGTTTCTATTGCGATAACTCATGTAGTTCAGCAGATTAAAAGATCCAGTCGCCTGTCATATGAACACAAAAATGCTGGTCCTCCTTAAAGATTCCTCCTCTTGTGACTGTTGCCTAAGTAGTTTCTATATATTCTACATTGTATCTTTCCTTGTTAGAACTTTTTAGACTTTGCAGGTCAGATATGATGACAGAATATTACTTAAGTCATGTAAGCAAAACGGATATATTTCAGTAATATTTTAGAGCTTCTAGTGGAAAGAGTATTTTGTACATGACAAAGTTAAAGTTAAGTTTAATTTGTAAGAGGCAAAATTACTCATTTTAAAATTGGACAATCGAAGAGGTCTAGAGGTTTGGATTATAAGCTTCTTATCAAACAAGGATGCTTTTGGGTGGCAGTTCTAATAAATATGTGATGGGGCAGTTTCTAGGATGCTTTTTTGTCACTTCATTGCTAGCAGCACAGTGTTCTTACTTTGAACAGAATACTGCCATCCTTATTATTTTAATGTAAAGGGGTTTAGGAATGAGCATGCAAAAAAATTGATGGAGGTGGAGATGGATTGATAGTGGAGAAGTTCTCATGCTGGAGAAATTTGTCAGTGCTGCTTTCCCTGGTAAAGAGCAGAAGCAATTCAATGTGCCTGTGGTCCACTTGGTGATAAAGCACGGATGAATTTATTGTTCGTTAAAGACTGATCATTTTGGTCATTGGAAGCTGACTATACTGGTACCAGTAAGCAAAAAGGGGCCTTCTCATTCTCCATTTGATGTTTGCATACATTTTATAAAAAAAAAAAAAAAAGAAAAAAAAATCTACTAATGTAAATCAGGTTTTATTTCTGTTAGATCAGATGTCATCTGTGATCTTCATTTCTATTAAGGCGCTTAAAGAATTTAAGTATACAGAATTTAAACTATATTCGTAACAGTCTTGCAGTAATACATATATCAGTTTTTATTAAGACTTGGACTGAGTGGTATTTTGTTTGCCTGGGAATGCATTCCAGGAAAATGGAAGCAGCCTAATGTGCAAATCCTCTTTCGCAGTAGCAAGCCTTCAACAAACAATGTTCATTCCACTGAGTAAAGTGTGTATGAGTAGTTTGAATCCTTTTTGTTTTTCCTTTTAAAGGTGCATTTGAACTTCTTACTGTTTCTACATCGACTAGCAGAAGAAGCCAGGACAAATGCTTTTGAGAACAAAAGTAAAATAATCAAACCTGAGCATACTGTAGCTGCAGCAAAGGTAATAAAGAATTTTTAATATTTTTCTATTATACTTTTGTTTAATGTACTATGCATTAAGGCAGGGTGCATACAAATTTTCTGATATAGTGTCCCCTAATATAATATAATCCCCAAACCTGCAACAAATTAATATTATTAGATAGAAAATTGTAATAATTCTATCAAGACAATTGTTAATATTTTTAGATACAAAATTGTAATAATTCTGTCACCAAGACATTAAATGGAATTCTTTCTGCCCTATTCACTGTAGTCCTTTTGCTGCTCTTTTTCCCCCCAATATTTAAATCTATAATTTCAGAGTGTGGGATATTTCTACATGGTAGTCCACCAATGAGCGTTCATGGAGTGAAGGCCATGTGGAACATTAGTGTGGTGCTAGGTGTGCAGTAATGTATTGTAGGACTGTTTCTGGTCCTATAGCCTCCTGCTGCTTTTGTGATCAATGTGAGGTGGTGTCCGATTCAAACGGGTAGAATGAATTCACATCTGACTATGAAAAGATGCGACTGTCAAAACGAGGTCTGCTTTTGTTGCTGTTCAGCATCTTGGCTTTAGGATATGGAAAGACAAGTGTAGGCTCTGGGAGACCCGGACAGGAACAAGTTACGGAGAAAGAGGGTTTTTATTTTTGATGACGTATCAAAGAAACTTCACTGTGAGCTGTGTGTAATCTGAACTGCAGTAGCAAAAACGAAACTTTAATTGAGCAAGCAGAGAGTAGCTCAAAGAGATTCAAGTATCCTATTTGTACATTAAATTCATGTAATCTTAGTCTGAAATGTATTTTAAGTGGATTCTTGCAGCATTGTGAGGATACTACTGGAACAGACAGGTGGTTCTTGTGATACTGTGTTCTGCAAGGGAGAGTTAAATTATGAATTATAATACAGCTAACTCAGCATAACAAAAAATACTCTTTGAGTATCTGTAAAGGAGGAACTATCTGCTTTATTGTACCTGATTAAGAGCTTTGTATGTATGTGAAAGAAACAAAACAAAACAAAAAACAAAAAAAAAAGGGGGTGGTGGTGGGGGGGGAGAGGGTGGTAAATTGCCCTTCTTTCTCCCTACAATGAATTAATAGTGTCAAAGTATGACCAAAATCCTGCTAATTGGCAGTTCATTTCACTTTGTTAGGCTGTTTTACTTAGAGACTTGTTTCTGCATAAAACCTAATTTGCTTAGTTATCTGTTCAACCATCTTAGTAGTGCTGGACAAATGGGAAACAGACATGTTCCTAATGAAAAAATGATTGAGGTTGGAAGGACCTTTAGAGATCATATACCCCCCGCCCCCGCACAAACTGAATGTTTGGGTCCAATGGCTTCTGTTCATCTCTGGTCTTTATTTTTTTTCTTTTTTTCTTCCAAAATGTTTGGATTGTTACTATAGTAATAGAAAATATCAGAAATATATACAGGATGTGTAGGATAGCCAAGTTAATGTTGCAGTTGGAATATTGTGCTTTTGTAATTTTTTTTTAACTTCAACCTTAGTATTATGTGAACATTTTTTTGTTCCATTTATTTCTTTTTAAGATGAGAAGAAAGGAAAAACTGCCCATATTTTAATAATGTTAACACTTAAACTGTCCCACTTGGACTTCGAAGTTCACTTTTCGACTTAAACTCCAAACCAAAAAATGTACTTCCAAGGGTCTAGGCACTCTTGATATAAAAAGAAATAAGGCATTACAAACAAAAATTGAGCATAGTCGCTGTACAATTGCACATCTTAGATTTTTTTTTTTTTTTTTTGTCCGGGTCTAAGGAGATAAGAGCTTAAAGGAATCTGCCAAGAGCTTGACAGAGCTGCTCATTTAGAAAACCTAAGAATTTCCCCAAAAAATGTTTGAGTATTCAGTTCGTTAAACATTTTCTAATATATTTCTATGCTTTTGTTGAATTCATAACCTTTTCCTTGACACTTGCCCTTCATCGCTCTGTGAGACAGATTGTTCAGCTGCGTGAACCATTGGTTGGAGTAGCACAGCTTTTTTCAGTAACTTTTACTGCTACCTGAACTGTGTGTGTATAAACAGTGATAATATCCTCCTTTTTTTTTTTTTTTTTTTTTTTTTTCTCCTCTCCAGGTTGTTTTAAAGAAAAGCAGAGGCTAAAAAATGCAACAATGAGATTTCAAGTCTTGGGGTTTTTTTTGTGTTCTTACTAGCTTGAGATCCTGTGAGCCAGCTTTTGCACTTGTGGAAGTATTTGCTTTTACTGATGTATATCTCCTGACTCGCCTTCTGAGTATCCTGCTGTTTCTTAAACAAACAAACAACAACAACAAATAAACAAAAATGTTTTTAAGCATTTCATGTCTAATCAAAAAACGTGTGTCATTTATAAGTATCATAAGTAATAATTCGTTTAAATCTTCTGCTATACCTTATTTTTTTCAATAAAATAAAACTTACCGTGCTCACTGAAGTACAGTGTGTCTTTTTTTTAATTTACTGAAGTCTGAAGCATTTTAAGGAAAATAGTAATAATGATGCAGGTTTCACTTAATCCATTATAGATTGTGCTGTTCAGAACAGGTTTACCAGCTAAACAAAATGTTAGCTTTCAAAAGAAGTGCTGTAGAAGCTGGGGTATTAAATATCTTGACTTTGATTTGTTTATATGTATCTTAATATTTATAAATAAATTTGAAAAGTAGGTGAAAATCTCCATGTTTTGGGGAATTGATACATATTCTGTATTTTTAAACTAAGCTCTGCAAGCTCTGAACTGTTAAGCTGGCTTACTGTTTTGATGTGGTATGTGAGATGACTTGGTGGTCTTAATTCAGCTGGTGTGGACAGAAGCACATTATTTAAAAAAAAATGCTGATGTTTTTGAAGTTAGATCCTTAGATCCTGTAGAAATAATGAAGACAAGTTGGCATGAAAGTTGAACTGCTTCCTCCCCTCCTTTTGAGTGTCATCCTAACCTGTAGAAGTGTTGAAATGTACATTAGATTAAAAAATCTCTAAATGAAATTGTGTTCTCTTTCTAATTTGATATCTTTAAAAGATTTTTAAAACATTTAGCAGTAGTATATATTAATAAAGATACAGTTGAGTCTTGCTGTTTGAGCTGATAACACTGTTTTGTGGAATATGTGGTAGCAGGTGCTTCGCATCAGTGAACTGTTCTTAAGATTAAAAAGTAAATCATCACATTGAGTTGGTCTAGTTTTGTTTAACACCTCATACTGAGTATGAGTTTTTTTAAAAAGCCAAGAATAATTGCATTTCCTGAATATTTTTCTAGTCTAGAGAAATTGAAGCAATGTCAGAACTTCATACCTGAAGTTGATATCATGCCCATGTACTTAAAATACTCTAAAACATGAGAAGTCCTGTCCTTTTACAGCATTCAAAAATAAAATTTGTCTATTCTGGCTTTCCTTAACACAGAGGACTTGATTCAGTGTGGATCTATGAAAAGTGGATTAGGTTCTTTATTGTGTTTATTCTTCTCCTACTCCCTTGAATACCACAAAGCTGAGAATGTATCTGATACTTTAATCCATATAGGTGTTGGTTATTTGAACTGGAGTACAGTCTCAGGAATAAGATGTAACTGTCTAGGTATTTATTTTTCTTTGTGATTACCACATACACAGACTGCCCCCCCCCCCCCAAAAAAAAAAAAAAACCCTTTCAACAGCAGGTTTATGTATAACCTGTATAACCAGGTTATGTGTAATCACCTTTCCTAGTTGGACAGATATTTGAGCAGATCATCTTGGAGCTTAGCGGAATTTTCTTGATGCGGTGTGGTGGCAGTAGTAGGTGGGTGATCAACTACCATTCAGAAAAGGAGGTAAGACGTGGGTAGCTGGTGTTAAACTTTGCTTTTTTCTTTTGGATAGTGTTTTTGGACCAAATCTATAGCTTTTGGTTTTTTTTCTTCTTCCTTTTAATGGGAGAGGGACTATAATAGGAGAGTGCTATGTGATATAAGAAGTTTCAGGGGGAAAAAGTGTTATCTCACTAGTTTACCAGTATTCTGTGAACATTTGGAAGTATCTGAAGAAGCAAGTATTGAGAAGATCTGAGAGAGAGGCATGTTTCGAGAGGCATGTTTTGTCTCTCAAATTTTAAATAAAAGTTTACTTAAAAATAAAGCTACTAATCTAATTTTGCATTCAGAAATACATAATGATTTTCCAATACCCTCTTGGTGTATATCACACTACATTAATTGTAGTCACATTTGATAGGTCTTCCTGCATGCCTATAGCTATAAACACTTCTAATTATAATATTTCCTTGGAGAATATTTTCTTTTTTAAAATTTCCTTTTTTTTTTTCTCTCCACCCTGACTTCAAAAATAGACTGCTAATGACAAAACGTCAAAATATAGAGTTTTAGGACATGTCTTTGTAAACTAGGTCTTTGAAGAGAAGGCCAAATGAAGTTTGATTTGGTTGTACGTATTTGGAGGATTTAGTTTTTGTGTTGATTCTCTGCCTTTAGGAGGAAATAAAGGAGGTCTTCTGGAGAGAAGAGCTGTGCTGAGGCATTAAGAGGTTTTTACTGGCCTACTTTCCTGAACCTTGAGAAATTTAGTCCTTCAGACATCCTGTTGAATATTTTTGGCTTTAAAAGTAGGATGAAAGAGATTTTGGGGAATGAAATGTATAACAGGTGCTCAGTGCAGTTGTGGGTCTTCATGTCAGGAAAGATGGTCAAAGAATATCAATGGATAAAGGCACAGTGGACTTGAATTCATTTTTTCCTTTTTTTTTTTTTCTTTTTCTTTTTCTGCCTCTCTGAAGCTTTCTCAGTGTTTTTCTGCTTTGCATCCTTCACTCGCACTATAACTGCCGACATGAGAGGAAAAAGACAAAACAGAGAATGGAATAATTTGGTAAAAGCATTTCTAGTGCCTTGAGTTCCAGGTTCTGAAGTAGCTAATGTTTGCCTGGGAGACAGCAGATGATATCGCAAGTAAATAAGGGAAGCAGGTGCAATAAAACAAGAAAAGTGCTTAAGTGCGTATTGATAAGGAAGTGACTATGAGAGGATGCGTTATTCATTTTTCTGTCATACATGGAGTGGCTGATGAGGGAGGACCTGCTGTTTTCCATGTTAGCCTCCTCTTGAGGAGTATGCACTATGCCAGCTGTCAGGCTCATATCACAGTGTGCTTTGAGTGATGTGAAAAATTTAAAACTGGATGTATGCTTTTTTTTTTTTTGAATTTGTAACACTTTGAGCATTATAAATCACCTGAATAATATGCTTAAAACCATAGATAAACTGTGAATATCAAGAATGGCATGTCAGTGAATTTAAAAGTTGTGAAGAATTTTAGTTTCTTAACTCCCAATTGAGTCAATGGGAATATATAAACTTGTATAGTTTTGTGGGTCAAAGCCTAAATAATCACTTTTCAATTTGAATTTCATCTTTGATCATTACATTTTGTGTTTTGAGTCAGGCAATCAACACAAATGTTACAGAGGACATTTATTCCTCAGAACTTTGTTGTACTTGTGAGTAAGAGAGCATAATGGCTATCAAAAAATCTTAAGTTTTAAATTAAAAAATAGGAAATATTCTCTATGCTGTAATGACATGATAAGGAAAAAAGAAAAGGTTCAGAAATATGTTGCCTATAGCAGGAAAGTTCTTTTTCCAACCATAAGATGGAGATAGAGCAAGAAACCTCTTTTCTTTCCTGTAGAAACTTCCAATTTGAGAAAATATTCTGTTTATTTTTGCTAAAAATTATACTGTATGTTGTGACACTTCCAGATTTTTTGAAGACTACCAACACCGTGCTGCTGACAGATGCAGGGCAATTAATGTTTGAAAAAAGTTTTTGTTTGAACCAAAATAGGATGTCCTGTTGATCAATACTGAGAGGGTAAAACTTAGATGTACTAGGGAGACTTCGATAGATTTTGAAGATTTTTTTCTTTCTTTAAAATTGAGTGTTTTGACACTTTTTTTCCCCTTTTTTTTCCTTTTTTTTTTTAAATCTTAGAAATAGGCCTACAGTTATTAGTACAACATAAATATGTTTTAGAAATGTATTTATTCCATTTGGCAGTTTTATACAAGAACCTATTAACAGGACATTCCTCATATAATAACTTTATTAAACAGATATCTGAAATTTGTTGAATTGTTGATTCTATTGGTCTTTTATCAGTTTTAAACAACTAGTGATAAAACAATAAAGCTTTTTTTTTTTTTTTTGCAATGACTTATGAATATATATCTGTGTGACATTTTAAATAAAAGTACCATTTAGAGTAAAAAAAAAATCCCTTTTCAAGAGCTGTAAATTGTATGTTAAGTTTAAGTTCTTCAGGCTGTTTGGAAACACTGTGTATGGTTCTTGCTATATACTGTAGTATGCTCTTGTGTAGTACATTGGTTGATACTATATGTATATATATTGGAATATAAATTCTCATTCGTGCAGTGATACATGTACTTACAGTTGTAGTTTGCTGGGCATACTTGGTTATGATTTTTTCTTTTTTTAAAAAAAGAAAAGCATGTTTGAGTAGTCTCAGACCCAGAATGAGATGATACAGCATTTTTGTTGTGCTAAACACAAAACTTTAGCTTTTGGAAGAAGGAGATGAACAGCCTTCTCACCTGACAAATCTTGATTCTGTAGGTTTAGTTGGTCAAAATTCATCTTTCTGGTGTTTCGTGATCAGTGTTGAGAGAATATCAGTTTCCTTGTTGTCTATATTAATCAAATTCATGTGGGATTTGATACGTAATATTCTTCTGTGTGCAAGGATATTAACCTTGTCCTGGTCAAACTGCTGAGAGATCTTTTAGGGTTGTTACCTGCAAGATGAGGTTTCTTACCGGGAAGGTCACTTTCCTCAGGAAATGTTTTCAGTGCCCGGAAAGCTTGAGTAGGTTGTAGAAAAATATCGATAAGGTCACCCAAGCAACCCTAATATTGCTTCTGGTTTATAAAGCAAGAACAAACGTAGACACAGTCTGATTACTTGGTAGTAGTGTTATTGCAGCCGTTAAATAACATCAAGAGCTCTTCCTGCAGTAAAGGTTCATTCTTGACCTCCTACCACAATATGTCAAGTTATTGTTTCAACAATACTGCAAAAACGTAGCTTCCTGCTTTGCTTTGTAAGCATGCAGAAAGCACAGTAAGACACATTTTGGAAACTGAACAGTCAGTGAATCAGAATTTTTAAAGGACAAAGACTTCTACATAAGCATAATAACGAATAGGTTTGGATAGGCTGGAGATTCGATCTTGTAATACCAGCTTAAATTG